CAAGTCCCGGACGAAACGTGGTCACTTCCATACAAATTTTGTCGGTTAGTACATAATCCGTTAGTACATAAACCCCGTTAGTACATAACATTTCTCCGTACCCGCATGTCACCTACCTCAATAGTACATAATTTACTGGTCTTTTGGCCTTCCAGTGGAGGCACATCGTGTTCTAGTTTCTACTTCTGGACGCAAGTAGCATAGAAATCAGAGCGCACATCACAAACCGACAAAGCTCTGTTTTTTTTCGAGTGACTATACAGGTGCGGCTGGGCATGTACCATGTCAACTGTAGAACCTTCGCTAAATGTGACCGTTATAACATAATTTTTATGTTATATCGAGGGAATCAAGAATATCTCGCTGCCTAGTCATGGTAGCAAGAAACACTCAGAAAAGTTGAAAAAAGTGAAAAATTCTGGTATACAAGCAAGGTATGTACACTTTCGTTTAGTACATAAACCCCGTTAATACATAACATTTGTCAAGTCCCAGAGATTATGTATTAACGAGGGACGACCTGTACTTTGAAAGTAGATTATATGGTGATGCTTTTTCAAAATGATGTGGAACTGAAGTTGCTATCATGAACTAGCAGTGAATAACAGTAAATCAGAACCCTACGTCGACAGTCTTCAAAGTACTTAGAGGGTGCATACGGAATGCTATTTTGGAAATTTAGTATATTGTGTGGTATGAAAAAGTACAATATATGTGATCTAACCCTCGATATGCTTGCTCCTTTGGCTTTGGGCAGTCGTGCGCATGCCTCACCGGGCTCATCCTCCACCTCTGCCTCGTTCTCGTCTTCCTTATTATCCTCCTCTGTCTCGTACTCATCTTCCTCACTCTCTTCCTCCGAAGAATCAGAGACTTCCAACACATTTCCATTTGATGTACTCATGGTGCAAGCAAGCAAGCACTGCATGACTCTGTGAATAGGAAAGACAAGGTTTCTTTCCGTTTTCCATGATGTCATCAACGTGGTACGTCTATACAAGAGTAGATAAACAAGAGTGTGCAACTCGCGGATGGGTTGGCCCACGGCGGAATTTTTTGTTGACGTAATCTTTTCGACGACGCACGCGCTGCGAGCCTTTCGGAGAGGTTTCCCTCGTGTACTTGGCGGGGCTTGCACTACAAGATCGGTGCCCAGCACGTGCTCTCACACTGCTCTGCGGCAAAGTCCGCGTTTCCCTGAAAAAAGGTGACGTCAACAAAAAATTCCGCCGTGGGCGGGGGTATCTGCAGATTGTGCAGAAGAGATAGGGAGTTGCACACTCTTGTTTATCTACTCTTGGTCTATACCAGCTGCCACTAAGATTCGCAACAAGAGACGCATGTTGCGAAGTCGCAGGCTAACGTTTAAGCAAAACTGCCAAAAGCCGCTGGTACAAAGTACAGTGTGTACGTTACATTGTAGAGCTCCTGTTTTATTCAGTAATGCACACTCATGACGTGAGAAAATGACACTTTTGGGCGCTAATGCTTGTTTTGGCTCCAAATCCGGGTACAATGCTGGAGCATTGCTAGTTCTCAAAACGATGCTCGTAATGCCAGTTACAATGCTAGCATTACCCGCCGAGGCCTAGATTGCATGGAGGTGAGTTTGAGTAGGTAGAGCTGGAAAGTTGTTTGTGTGTAGGGGGATTGCATGGAGGTGAGTTTGAGTAGGGGATAGAGCTGGGAAGTTGTTTGTGTCTAGGGGGATTGCATGGAGGTGAGTTTGAGTAGGGAATAGAGCTGGGAAGTTGTGTGTGTCTAGGGGGATTGCATGGAGGTGAGTTTGAGTAGGGGATAGAGCTGGGAAGTTGTTTGTGTGTAGGGGGATTGCATGGAGGTGAGTTTGAGTAGGGGATAGAGCTGGGAAGTTGTTTGTGTCTAGGGGGATTGCATGGAGGTGAGTTTGAGTAGGGGATAGAGCTGGGTAGTTGTTTGTGTCTAGGGGGATTGCATGGAGGTGAGTTTGAGTAGGGGATAGAGCTGGGAAGTTGTTTGTGTCTAAGGGGATTGGATGGAGGTGAGTAGGGGATAGAGCTGGGAAGTTGTTTGTGTCTAGGGGGATTGCATGGAGGTGAGTTTGAGTAGGGAATAGAGCTGGGAAGTTGTGTGTGTCTAGGGGGATTGCATGGAGGTGAGTTTGAGTAGGGGATAGAGCTGGGAAGTTGTTTGTGTGTAGGGGGATTGCATGGAGGTGAGTTTGAGTAGGGGATAGAGCTGGGAAGTTGTTTGTGTCTAGGGGGATTGCATGGAGGTGAGTTTGAGTAGGGGATAGAGCTGGGTAGTTGTTTGTGTCTAGGGGGATTGCATGGAGGTGAGTTTGAGTAGGGGATAGAGCTGGGAAGTTGTTTGTGTCTAAGGGGATTGGATGGAGGTGAGTAGGGGATAGAGCTGGGAAGTTGTTTGTGTCTAGGGGGATTGCATGGAGGTGAGTTTGAGTAGGCGATAGAGCTGGGAAGTTGTTTGTGTCCTACCTACATGTACGTACATGTGAAACACGGTGGCCCAATTGTTAGATATTACCTTGTTCATACTGTAGTGCAGACCCACTACAGGTGTATTGAATCAGCCCCCCCCCTCCTCCCCTCCCCTTCCTTCCCCCTCCCCTTCCCCCTCCCCTTCCCCCTCCCCTTCCCCCTCCCCTTCCCTTTCCCCTTCCCCGTCCCCCTGCCCTATCTCCATTCCAGGAGTAAATACCTGGGTACACATATGCAGTGCATTCATTAATCATGGTCTGTGAAGTGTTAAGGTGCAGGTATATGTAGATATCATGCAATGTTGTTCTGCACTACATGTACACACACATGTGTATTGGAGGCTGAGGTGACACGACGGGATCCACTCTCAGGCATTTCCTCCAGCTTGACTCTAGCATGACAATGCAACTGTCCTGTGTTCTGTGCTGTTCTGTGCTGTTCATGTTGTCTTACTTACACTTGTAGTAATCTCAGCTTTGTTTGCCGCCATACCTCTACTAGGCAGCTACTGGGTAGCACTGCCCGCATCACTCTACCTGCCTGTTGCGCAACAGTCCTGGATCAAAGCATCACTGCTGTTCGGCCTGCACTTTCTCTGCTACAATGTTGTCGACGTGGCCATATACTCTGAGATCAAAGGGTACGTGCTGTATGGGACTTTTACAATATGCACTGGATTTAGAATAGATTTCTACTGTTTTGGGAGCGTGTGTCTACTGGCAGACATGTCACATGTACTGTATGATCTGTGGACTGCAGTGTCATAACATGTTGTCCTGCCAGTCCGGTTTTGGTCTCAATGTTGGCTTTGAAAGGAGCTCAAATTTGAGCATTTGCAGGCCGATGTTTCATAACACTTACCGCGGACGTCCCGTATCCCCTTTGCGCCGACCATTCATAGTCGTACTGCTGCCATCCACGGTCACTGTATGTGTGATATGAGTAAACAATGTATGGTATACTATAGTATGGTATACTATAGTATATCATACTATAGTATGATATACTATAGTATGGTATACTATAGTATGGTATACTATAGTATATCATACTATAGTATGATATACTATAGTATACTACAGTACACCATACTACAGTACTTGATACTATAGTATGGTATACTGTACCATACTATAGTATACCATACTATAGTATGATATACTATAGTATGGTGTACTATAGTATGGTACAGTACACCTTACTATAGTATGGTGTACTGTACCATACTATAGTAAGGTGTACTGTACCATACTATAGTATGGTATAGTACACCATACTATAGTATGGTGTACTATAGTACTCATTACTACAGTATAGTATAGTATGGTTTACAGGGCTGTAAAGTCAAACGCCTCTTTCAGAATGGCAGAGGTCTTACTCTCACCCATTATCAATGCATGCTGTTTTTCAGTGTGAGTTGGGTACACATGGGTGAGAGTATAATTATGAGCATTCTCCACCCCTTGTTTTCAAGAAATGGCTAACGTTAGTGCGCCTACATGCAGTATCTGGAGTAAGTATGCAGACCAAGCAAACAATGGGTATGCGTGTGTATGGCAAACAAGCTGCTCTAACCGAACGGGGTCTAGGGCCGAAGAACCTGAGCGTCTTCTACTTGGCTAGGACAGCTAGCTTGCCGGGTGCAAGCACGACTAGTTGACTCTGCTTGCATCCTGCTGTCGTTTTAACTACTACATATAGTTCAATGATTGGCTCTCACCGTGTTGTGTGTTGTCTTGTATTGTGTGTGTGTGTGTGTGTGTGTGTGTGTGTATGTGTGTGTGTGTGTGTTTGTGTTGTGTGTGTCTGTGTTGTGTCTGTGTATATGTGCAGTGGTGGACATCCATACCTGACCGGCTTGGCTGTGGCCGGCGGCATGTACATATTTGGACTGGAAGGCGCAGTCATTGGCCCTATCATCCTGTGCTGTGGCCTGGCAGCCATGGACATCAACCGCACCATGCTCAATGCTAGTATTCAGAAAACCTAGCCACAGTTATCAGCATCAGCACCACCACCAGCAACACATCTTTGCAGGTCAATCTCCCTGTTTTTTGTTGTGGATCCATGTTTCATGTTGGGAACGGAAAATGTTATCTCAATTCCGTATTTGCTGCGAATGGTGTCCAATTCTTGAAAGTTATTTATTGAGATCATGATAATTCAATTCTGGAAAAGAAGTTTGACGAAATTTAAGTATCAGCGCATCTTGGCTGTCTCTCTTTCGTATTTCTTTGAGTCTGATTGCGAGTGATCTGTTTGTATTCAATGCCTGCACATTACCAAACAGTGTCGTGTAGTGTGATATTAAATTGGTACTGGAGACCAAGGTAAAACATAGATCACAGTCGTATAGTTGTATCACAACAGGCTACTACGGCTCATCAGTTGTCTAAGGTGTGCACCTAGTCAGATCAAGCATTGATTATTCGCTTACACTTTGGAGAGCACATCCGCCCTTTCTCTTGCTCCTTGATTTCCACTTCTTGATAAGCCCTTTCTTGAACAATGAAATGTATTTCTGTTAACATTCCGCAACTGTTTGCATGAGTTACTTCGGCTTCACTTTACACCGTATTTTAGTTATAATTATTATGTAGCATGTGTGGATCTACTCACCTTCCACTGATTAAGGAGAGCTGCATCTGCGCCTTGATCCTTGAGGTGGTGGCATTCCCACGGATGCGGAGAACTCTGTCTGAGTGGCAAATCGCTCGACTCCGTGACATTTATTCGCGTGTTGTGTGTGTGTGGGATGAACATAATATCTTATATGACATTAATTGCATGCAATGGAACCACTGCGCGGTGTCAATAATTATTATTATTCTTGTTGCAATGCACAGACTGTCAGTGGTGGCAAGTAAAATCCAGCTGTGAGAATTTTATAGTCCAGGGACTGCCCAAAAGTGACTATGAACAGAGGACTGTGCAGTGAAGTCAGTCTCTAATTAAATTTTAGTCATGGAACTGGATTTTATTCGACCCAACCAAGCAACAGTACATTTTACTGGTCTGACTTAGTGTGAGCATAATCAGTGCATGCTCAAGGACTAGAACTACGTGTACACTGGTACCACTTTATTGTTTGGCACGAGTTGCTCATGAGCTGCTCAAAGTGGGCACATGGTTGAAAAGTAAGTGGTACATGAATTACCGGCTGTCAGTGTTATGACATAGCTGATGATGTGATGGAACGAGGCACGAATAATTATTATTAATTTTGCAATTCGCAATTGTCCATATTTGCAATTCTGGTACACGTAGAACATGCCGAGTGCATCAGTCGTGCAAGGAAGAGGACTATGCGATCAGAAAGACAATAACTACGCTAGGAGTTTGGTTTAGCTGATAGCCGGTGACTCTGAACTGACCTGTGTGTTAGTAAGGCAAACCATGATTGTGTAATAATTGCTCAAGGTTACGCGTAGGGGTCATGAAGGCGTAGCGCGTTAACTGAGCAGCGTACAGCTAGTGTCTGTGTGTAAATAAGAACATGCTCTTGGTGACCAGGGTAATAATAATGATGATGTCATACCTGCCAGGTCTTCCAATTTGCTGGGATTATCTTGCATTTTTGGATGAGCTATTGAGATGGAAAGAGATGCAAGTTGCCAATACATGTAATCAGATACGTTTAGTACAGTAATGTTCACACCACACTGCATGGGTATGCCCTGTGCATGTGCTCAATATGCCTTCCATTATACTATAGACCAGGGACAGAAAATCAAGCATCATTTGTATGAACGATAGAAAACAAGAACACCAAAATTATGGGATTCAAATTGACGTGTCTCGTATCTTAATGTCTTCAGAGGCACTTGGGCCAAGCATCTTGTTCCTGGAAGGCTGGCGCATTTTTCCTTTGCCAGCCAGGCGCCGTTGTCTCCGTATCAGAACCACAATGCAGAGGGATGGGAACATTACGAAAGCCAGTCCTCCAGCCGCTGCAGCTATTAGAGTGACAGACACTGCTGTATGCCCATTACCAGCACCTGGACAGAGGTGATACATGCCGGGTAAAAAATATTATCATTACCGAAGCTACGCAGAATATGGAACGAATAGTGGTGTCTGGTTCTAGCCACGGTCCACAGCGCTTTAATTTCGGATCTTTTGTGCATGTACGTGTTGTTTGTATGTGTATGTCTGTGTGTGTATGTGTATGTGTATGTCTGTGTGTGTATGTGTGTATGTGTGTGGGTGTGTGTAGGCTTTCCCCAAATCGGCCCGTTTTTTCGGCAAAATTGGAATATATTGGGAAATGGACTACAGGTCGTCCCCCGTTAATACGAGTCCGGTTAGTACATAAACCCCGTTAGTACATAAGAAATCTCAAGTCCCGGACGAAACGTGGACACTTCCATACAAATTTTGTCGGTTAGTACATAATTCGTTAGTACATAAACCCCGTTAGTACATAACATTTCTCCCTACCCGCATGTCACCTACCTCAATAGTACATAATTTGTTGGTCTTGTGGAGGCTTCCAGTGGAGGCACATCGCGTTCTAGTTTCTACTTGTGGATGCAATTAGCTCAGAAATCAGAGTGCACATCACAAACCGACAAAGCTCTGTTTTTTCCCCGAGTGACTATACAGGCGCGGCTAGGGCATGTATCATGCAAACTGTAGTCTCTTCGCTGACTGTGACCGGTATAACATAATTTTTATGTTATATTGAGGGAATCAAGAATATCTCGCTGCCTAGCCATGGTAGCGAGAAACACTCAGAAAAGTAGAAAAAAGTGAAAAATCCTGGTACACAAGCAAGTTATGTACACTTTCGTTTAGTACATAAACCCCGTTAATACATAACATTTGTCAAGACCCAGAGATTATGTATTAACGAGGGACGACCTGTAATAGAATTGTTGGCCTATCGGCTTCGAGATTGGTGAGATATTGGAAGATTTGGTAGATTTTCGGCCATTCTCAAAGAAACCCTCCAAAATGGGCGAAAAGCTTAGCGTTTTTTCGTTACGTCTCGTTTTCGGCGACTTTTTCGCGCCCCGATTTGGGGATTTTACTAGTGACGGTCTTCCTAATGGCTAATGTTTGTTTGAGAGGGGTCAAAGGACACGAATCACACGACCTCAAAATCCTAACAGTACAAGTAGTGAAGTAGTTAGCTCGACCTGTCATGCTTGCAGCAACATCATTCGTTCCTACTGATCGTAAGCGCACTTTGCAACAACATTAAATTTGGTAGATTTTCGGCAATTCTCAAAGGAACCCTCCAAAATCGGCGAAAGGCTTAGCAATTTTTCGAAAAGTCTCATTTTAGGCGAAATTTTCGGCCGGCCTATTTGGGGAAAGCCTATCTGTGTGTGCGTGTGTCTGCGTGTATGCGCGCACGCGGTGTGTGTGGCCGATCATTGCGTGACCGACTGTTTCTTGTCACGTATGCGTCATGACTGATCACGTGAATGATGACATCAGCAGGGCTCAGCAAGATGATCATGTGACTGATGACGTCAGCGGGGCTCAGCAAGATGATCATGATGATGAACCAGCATAGCGAAGGGTCCTTAGGTGGTGGCAAGTACCGGCTTTTACAGAAAATGATGGTGATTCTTGTTGTTTTGGATCATTCACTTGTGAGGTCTGCATGCGACACTGGGATATAATGGGCGAAGTGCTGGCCTGCCAATGTGAACGTCTTTACTCGATGTGTTCCTGAACACGTGGGGTGATGCGGCCGCGAATCCGGCTATCTCTACTTTACTTTTGGGTTTGTAACTTTTGGATCATTCCTTCTGTATAGTAGAATGGGTTCTTACAGGTTGTAACAGCCACTGATGGTTGTCATGGTGATTTGTAACCAGACTGTATGTCAACATGCTGGGGTGGTGGTGGTGGTCAGACAGGTACACAGTGTGCTGCACCACAATCATAGTAATACACACATTGTAACACACATTCTAACACACATTGTAACACACATTGTAACACACATTGTAACACACACACTCTAGCGCACACTGCAAACGTATACCTGTCGTTTCTTGGATAGGTAGGTATGGTGATGTCGCCACTACTCTCATCTGCAGACATAAAAATCGAATAAATTAAAAAAATATTTGAACAGGCGGCGAGGCGACACAAGTTTATCACCATCCTTCAATTAAAAAAGATGGAATAAATTTTCTAATATGGGCCCAAAATAATATTTTAATCCGGGTTTCTTTTCCGTGAACTTGTTTATTGTGTTAGGACTGGTACAGTCACGCTTAGACGATCGGGCCAAGTATTAGTTGACAACGACAAGGAATCTCAGAGGTTCGTATACAATAATGTCAGGCAAGCAAGACAAAGAAGAGGTGGAAGGGGGAGAGCAAATGTTCCAGCCAGAGCTTATCTAGGGCCTGGGTAGCTATGGAGATAATGTGCTAAAGCGCGAGTCCAGCTACCCAGGCCAAAGAAAGAAAAGATTAGGAAAAGCAACCAGGGTGAGTACGAGGCTGTGAAGGTGAGTACGTCGAGTGAATGTTAGTGCGCGCCCTAAAAGGTGAGTTCGCGCCTGTAAAGGTGAGTACGAGAGTAAAGGTAAGTCCGCGCCTGAAAAGGTGAGTACGAGAGTGGAAGTGAGTGCGCGCCCGGAAAGGTGAGTTCGCGCCTGTAAAGGTGAGTACGAGAGTGAAAGTGAGTGCGCGCCTGTAAAGGTGAGTACGAGAGTGAAAGTGAGTGCGCGCCTGTAAAGGTGAGTACGAGAGTGAAAGTGAGTGCGCGCCCGAAAAGGTGAGTACGAGAGTGAAAGTGAGTGCGCGCCTGTAAAGGTGAGTTCGAGGGTGCGAGTGCGTACGAGTGTGCGAGTGCGTGCATGTGTGAAATCGTGAACCTAACAATTGTATACCGAGCTTTGTACAGCTTGACGAAATGTGAGTCCAAAGTTGTCCGTCCAGAATCGCTTTCTAACAAAACATGGCTCGCAATGCTGTTGCATGCACAAATTCCTCACCTGGGAGTATTGACCAGCATCCTCACTGGCCTGCGCTGCCTGATACCATAGTGTAAAAGTGTGTCTGGGCGGGAGGGGACCATTCTCCCACTGCCCGAGTCTTGTCCCATCACCGACCGTCACGGGCAATACGGCCCTGTGTCCAAACAACGACGAGTGGAACTCCGCCACAACATATGCCCTGGGCGTGGAGCCTGGCTGCCTTGTCTCCAGTGCTTCAGCGTAAGAGTAGACATTGGGTCCGGTCAAGTTGTATAGAATGTCGGGTGAAACATGAAACACTCTGCTAGTTGAGCTGCTCAAGGTAGCTGGTCCAAGGTTGATGCCAATGACTGTGTACTGGCTGCAGTAGCAAGCAGATCATCAACAAAGATGGACCAACTACCCAGGAGATGGGTTGTAGTGGGGGGTGGGGGTTGCCAACTCAGGAAGAAGACTATCGAGTCAAAAACATGTCCTACCTACTTTGATAACAAGGAAGCAGGCAAGGCAAGGGCTACCCCCCCCCCCCCTCCACCCCAGTATTCATGAGTTTGATAACAAGGAAGCAGGCAAGGCAAGGGCTACCCCCCCCCCCCCACCCCAGTATTCATGGGTTTGATAACAAGGAAGTAGGCAAGGCAAGGACTACCCCCCCCCCCCACCCCAGTATTCATGGGTTTGATAACAAGGAAGTACACAAGGCAAGGGCTACCCCCCCCCCCCCCCCCGCCCCCGCCCCCTCCACCCCAGTTTTCATGGGTTTGATAACAAGGAAGCAGG